GAAAGCCGAAAAAGAGAAATATAATGGCCAAATAAAATATTAAAAGAGAGAGAAGTGCAAAAGTACGAGAAGAAAGAAAAAAGTAACTAAAAGAAGGAATAGGAAGAAATCGTAGTGCCGATACATAAGTCTTACGAACAACTCACCAACCGTGCGATTATTTGTTATCGATCGCGGTCAGCCACGCATGAAAACTCACCGCGATATATATTGTCGTAGTATTTCTACCAAGGCTTGAGCACCCTGAATATATGTATATGTATGCTCTTTACAAACTTTTAACAGCCATCCGATAGTATTTTTTATTCCTCTTGAGCTTTTTATATTCAATCGTCTGTAGCTGTATTTCTGAATGAATCAAATGACCATGCGCATACAGATACATTTTTGTTTTAGTGTTAAAATACAATGATAAAATATTTTATTAACATTCAAGTTTAATTCAAAAGCGAGAAACAGAACATCTCCATTGCAAAATTCGTTCTATACTCTATGCATTAGCAATTACAATTTGGAAACGCATTACATTTATTATAATTAATAATTTCAAAAACATTAATTATCTGTATAATCAATGTTTATGAAGAACTGTTTATTTTCTTTTAAAATTGATCAGAAAAATGACTTAAGCCTTCTTTCCATAAATTTCTTCAATACATGATTATCTCCAAAATCAATTTTTGTATATGTAATGGAGATCAATAACTGTAATAGAGATTATTTTTCATAAATTATATATTTAAACATAAATATTCGTTTATTTATATATTTGATTAAATGCTTTATAAGTATTGATAAAAGATCAGTTGTTACTTTTTATGTATGCAATTATCAATTAATAGCAATTTATCATATCCATTATTTACTGAAGAAGATATTTTTATTCCTTTCATATTCTTAAGAATATAGTTAAATAAATACTTGTGCAGAAAGACGCAATACTAGATTAGATATGTGATTATTCTGTTAACAGTGTAAGCAATGAAATATGTAAATTGTATGTTTGATCAAACGCTTTGGTTTAAGATGCTCTGGAAAATTGTTATTGAAAATTCTAGATTATAGGGTACCTTTTACATTGACAAACCGAGGAAATAAAATTTACAAGTCTACTTCATAAAATGAGTATTGCTTAATTCACCAAACAATGCTATATAGGTGAATTAACAACAATCCGGTAAAGTGTAATGGAAATGAGAATGATGGAGAAAAAAGAAAGGGAAATGTAAAGAAATTTGCACGCGCCCAATTAATATTCATAAAGCGAGCCTCCTCTCTTGCACGGCCTCGTAAAACATTCTCGTACATATAACGCCTGAAAAACGACGACATGCCGTTGATTCAGAGATCGCGGCCCGATTTCGGATGCACGCACGTACACGTGCAAAAGAAAGAGAGACAGAACAGGACAAGGAATAAAGAAGGACGACAAGGGATGAACGTGAACTTCTGTAGATTTCTTCTTTTTCGTCACGGCAGCGACTCCTCGACAAGTTTAAAGTAAAATAGTTACCGCGAACGAGATGAAGAGAGATATTTTGGAGCAAGTCGAAATGCACTCTCTCGGGCTTAAGCCAATAAAAAAAAAAAAGAAAAAAAAAGAAAAAAACACGGCATCTTCCGTGAATAGTGATTAATTCGATCGATTAAGGACGTCGCTATGACTGACCAATAAAATGACATAAAATAATTTTAAAATACATCTTTTATTATAAATTTGGCAGGATGATTTACAATTCAAAATGAATAGACTCATTTCGAATAAACTTAAGTTTATTTTTAATATAACTGAACTTATTCTGAATATCAATTGACTTGACTTTAAGCTCCACAAAGTTTGCGTTCAAGATGAAATTTAATCCATTTTAAATGAGTCGAAAATTTGATTAGAAAACTTACCACTGAATGAACAAATTTTTAAAATCTTAAAAACATAGTCAATATTAAATATGAAAACAATATGAAAATGCAAGTGCATCTATTTATGTATGATTGCGATAATCACAATGATAAATTAAACCTCAATTATTCATATATTCAATCTGTAATATAAAAATGAGGTTTAAACTATTCATGAAATATTTAAGATATACAATGAAAAGCAGACTTTACTTAAGAAAACAATTTCTACAGTAATTGTGGCAGCATTCTACATTTGTTCCTTTAATTTTCAGTAATAAAAATAATTACTAATCAAACTAATGTAAAAAAGTTTTTGTAAACTGGATACAATTTTGTATTATTGCATTAATTATTCATATTTGAGAGAAGTTAAAACATCGGCAGCAATTATCGTAATAATCTTTATTTAGCTGATAGGAATATTTTTTAAAATGTTGTAAAATATTTCGTAGAAACATATTTTATGAAGGATTATGGGTTATAATTGTAGTTTCTGTTGTATCATCAATTGATGAAAATGAATGGAAATAAGAATTTTCCAAACAAAATATTAATTTATGTCTGCTTATTCAAGCTTAAAATGTTGTACACATACGCACGCATGAAAATTCGAAATAAATCGAATAAATGTTGAAAAAATTGAAAAGATTGTGAATTGAATATACGATTGCATTGACAATTAATGTATTATTGACGAAAATTTACAGTATCGTACTTAATATTTCCTAAATTTCTGTGCAACATTTGAAATACAAAAAAGAATAAGTTTTAGTAGAAACGTAAAATAATCGTATAATGGTGAAAAAACGAGAAATTAATTTACTATCCTTTATCTTTTAGTTTGTTATTGTTCTCTAATTCTATTTCGGCCTCGGGTCATTAAAAAAAGAGAATAGTTTTCAGATGGATGAGGATCCGACGGCACGGACTCGTAAGACATTGATCTTAGAAAAGTACATTTATTCCTAGTGTGCAAACTCTTGAGATTTATACAGCTCTCCTTCGCTCTAAAGAGACTTTGATGCTGTTCGAAGTACGAGCATATGCCTTTTATCTTTCCTTTTTTTCTTCTTATTTTTAATTTCAACAAGAATTTTTTCGACGGCTATGTGTATTTTTGGTTTTTTGTTTCGGATTACAATTAATGAGAGCCAATGCTTAGATACAAATAGCACTTACGTATGCATATAACTGTGAATTCAATTCAAAGAATTTCAATTAATTCATTTTTAAACTTTTTTAAAACTTGATGCTCATTTTCAATACATTCACAAGAAAATTTTAATTACTTCAAATTATTTTATACATTTAATTTTACTTTTATTTCATTGTCATTATTGTCATTTTTAATTATCACTTAACGCAGTATATGACAATGTCTTATTTTCTTTTAATGTAATTTCCCCTTTGATATACATACAATATTATATGTACATATCATGCAAATTTTATTAATGCGACAAGATTTTTTTTCTACGATCAAAATATATTATTCAATTACTTAAGCTTAATAGATTATTTGATAGATACAAAGTTTTTAATTCATTAATGTGCCAATGTCTTTAATAAAATATCATCCACCACCTCTATAGAACCGTGTGCTTCATTTTCAGGCAAAATAATTTTGCTGACATTACATATTTAACCCCTTGGAACTTGTACTCACTAGCTGGAAATCGATCGAAGTTCAACGACTGCAAATTTCCTAGCTGACACTGTCGATACATATCACATATAATCATGAAATATTTATTATATGAATTATACGTACTTTATACAATATTTATGAAAGCATTAAATCGTCGGAATTTTATGGAAGAAACTTGAACTTCTGATATTCATACGCACTATAAGGCGTAATTTAAAAATCGTTTAATAATTTTAACTATATATATCTATCTATATGTGAAGGTTTTTAATTAATCTTTTCTCATCCGTAATATTTGTTTCATAAATTATTTTACAATGCCATATTTTACATGTACTTTATTGTAAATTAATTCAATATTACATTTTTCCATTATTGCATTATAAATTGAATTGAATTATATCCTTAAAAATTTTAGTATCACAATTTAAATTATTATCAACGTTTTGCAATGATCATTTCAAGTTTGAATTCTTATTCTTTTCTATCACATTGAAAGAATAATAAACTCAAATTATCAAATTTTATCGCAATATTTAATGATAAAATCTTTTTCGATCAATTTTCGATTTTACTATTTATCTGAAAATAATAGATCACAATTAATCATGAATTGATAATATTTATTGTTGAATGGACTGCTTGAATATTTGTTTTACTCTATTTATATAATATATGAAAAACAAAAATAATTCTGTACGACTTATTTTCGAGAAACACTATATATTTTGAACAAAACAGTACTTCTCGTTTGTCAATTAAATTTGTAATAATATGTCTGTTAACGTTCTATCGAGTTGAATTTCTTTAAGGGTTATAATTCCTTGAGCTTCATTATAGTTCTACATTATATGAATGATGAAAATATTTAAATGGAAATTATTTATTTTCATTTTTTGTATTTTAGAGTTAGGCTCTAAGGTTATTGGAGAAATTTTTCAAGTTTCTTATGCTTTAATTCTTGGTTTACGGTATGTTCAAGAAACATAAATTTAGCTACCAAGAAATTTAAACAAACAATCCATAGGCAATCGATTATTGCAAAAAATTACGATATATTGATGTATTTATTATTTAGTATTGATATCGTATTTTAATTATTGAAAACAAACGACTTTGAATTTCGACTATTACGAATCTTTGAAAAATAATTAAGAATAATTTTTCATGTAATCTCCATTTAACCAATTGACGTGCAATAATTGTTTTAATAATTTTAGTGAAAGAAAAGCACAGAAAATTTTATCAATAGTTTATATAAAATAGTAAAGAGTAATTCGTGTATTTTAAAGAATATACTCTGGGAATTTTTGTTAATAAATTTTTGTATAATTTATTAAGAGCACGACTGAAAGTAAAAGTGGAAGTAGTAATGTAGTAAAGTAGTTGTAAAATATCAAGAAACCAAGATTGAAAATGTCACGTGTTAAATGAATGGAATAAGACTCACTTTTACAGCAGCGTGTTTTCGCTAAATCGCTTTGCCTTTCCGCAACTTTTCTACTTCCGTCGCTCTATTATCCGGATGTTCATTGCGGTCATTGGCACCAATCATAACACAAATTTATTTCTCACGAGAGAAATGTTTTCGCACACACACACACACATGCACACACATGCACACACATGCACACAAGCAAACTCACTCTCTCTCTCACTCACTCTCTCTCTCTCTCTCTCTCTCTCTCTCTCTCTCTCTCTCTCTCTTTCTCAATCTTGGCAATAAAATGCGCAGCCCTGTGATATTCGGGTAATCCGAATAAGATTCCTCTTATTTTCGGCTACACTATACACTTCACTGATATATTAATACTTTTTTATTTCAGCTCTTATCTCTCGACACAACCGACCACATGAAAGCACCGTATAAAGGTCACTCGCGAAAAGACAAGAAGCATAGGACACAAACAGTGACACGGCACACGTCTTTCCCTGAATCCTCCTAACGTTTTTATCACCCCTTTACTAAGAACTAAGCAACGTTGCTCTGCTTTGTTGTCGGGGGTAACTAGCCGAGGAGTAGGCAAGGAACTAGCGCTCTCTCTCTCTCTCTCTCTCTCTTTCTTTCGCGCGCCCCCCCCGTACCCTAGTAGCGCAAGTCCGGATAAGCAGGTTCCAAGGTCGCGCACGTTTGCCTCCCAACAAGTCGCATACAGGTGGTAATAGGGTTGTCGAGTCGATCGGCGCTCTTCAGCAATGGAAAATTGGTAATTCCACGGTGGCGGCGCCCGGCACGGGTTCTGAGTCTGCGCCTCGGTCGTTGATCAGCTGATCGCCACGCGCCTCCATACGCGGTACTGGCCGAGCTTACGGCGAGGCATATAAAAAGCTCGGACTACTCCTCCTCTTCCTCTTCCTCCTCTTCCTCCTCCTCCTCCTCCTCCTCGTCCTCCTCCTCCTCTTCTTCCTCCTCTTCCTCCTCCTGGTTCTCGCTACCCTCCTCCTCTTCGTCCTCGTCGAACTGAGGCTCCTCGAGGTCGTCGTCGGCCGCGGCCTTTACGTCTTCCTCCACGTTCTTGTCCTCCCCTATGTACCGGCGCCGCCGCTGGGACGATTCGCACCCTCCAGCCCTTCCAGGTTTTGACTGAATATAATGACAGCAGGAAGAGAAGAAGTGACTTTACAGTAACACTAGAGATGAGCGGGCCAACCTAAGCAATGCTAAATTGAACGTAGAGAAATGAAAATGGAGATCAGCTGGTCACGGGAACTCCGGGGGACGACGGGGCACGAGTCCCTCGATTCCTGCGGGTGTGCGCGACGTGGACGAATGTGCAATGACTTGGGGGGGAGGGAAGCAGGGCTGCTACGACGACGACGAGCAGCAGCAGCTGTAGCTATACGACAAGAAGAGCGCGAGCCGTGGACGCCATCCGCTCGAGTCGGCAGCCGGGCGTGCACTGGCACTTGGCTCTCAGCGAGCCACCGTCTCTCTCTCTCTCTCTCTCTCTCTTTCTCTCTCTTTCTCCCAGCCCCTCTCTCTCTCGCGCTCCCTGCTGCTGCTCTCTCTCCCTGTCTCTCCCTCTCACTCACTCTCTCTCTCTCTCTCTCTCTCTCTCT